TATGGGGTGTGTGTGTGTGTTTGCGGTTGAAACATTTATACTGATACACAACACCTACCTACCTTTATGCCTTCCCTCAACTACAGACAATGTCCCGACGAATGATTAAACACGGCATGCACACGATCTATATTGCATTGCGTAAGCAAAATAATAAAGCAGGGAATTCCCTTATACACTCTAGAACATTCGGTTACTGTCATGCCTCCAATGAATGTTTATGACGTTTATCTATACAGTTTAATTTGTTATTTGACAGTGGACTACAGCATATGCCTATAAATAGAGTATTTTTGTATTTGTATTTTGTATTTGTTTATAGACCGTGACTCTCTTCCATTTTTTTCAAAATAGACCTACCTCTAAACACCCGGCACGGTGTAGGCCTATTTATTGTATTGCATAGGCAAAATATTTTAAATGGGAATTACCATAATATACATTCTAGAATATTCGATTAAATCTGGTATTTGACAGTAGAATATGGATCTAGACCACATTGCCGAAGCTTAATTGTTTGCCGAATATTGCAAGGGTAGATTCAGGGGGTGGGAGTGTTGGCGTCGTCAAAAATTTATAAAAAAATGGAATTAAAAAGACAATTATATTCAAATTTAAATTGAGAGTGTCATTTCCTCTTATCTAGAAGTTAATCATGCATTTTCTTACCATGGTGGGGCTCACTTGGTGTAGACACTCCATCTGTCCATCCATGGCCCCCTATATCAAATTTCTGGATCCCCCGCAGATCTTCCGAATCCCCATTCGTGAAATATCACACAAAATTTTAGTTTTAGACCCTATTATCTACAAAAACTATTACTGGGCCAATGATTATTAATACAATATGATTTCTCTGCTGCGCTCTTCTAACTTAACCGCAGCTCCATTTGTGTGAACGTTTCAGTCAGTTGTATAAGAGAAACTGCCTGGTGGTTAGAAAACATTATACATTATTATACCATGTCTCCGTGGTCTAATGCGTACGATACTTACCTCGTTACTTACGATCATCATTTTTTTTATTTACTCACCCACTTAACAATTTCTTAACAATTAGTAAATCTGGCAGAATAATTCCTTTATTTAAAACGTACCAACCGTCATAAATACTCATTTTTACCATATGCAATCTTCAACGAACTTTAAATACAGTAGATAATCTCATCATCAAGCTTATCTACTGTATTTCACTATACTACATTCCATGCCACATTCCTCTCCTGTACCTCACAATATAGTTCAACCTTGTTTTATTCCCATGTGTATATATTGTTATATTCATATTTAATATTATATCTGTCAATTTTTGTATTGTATATTGTAGTGATGTTTTCGATTTCTACTGTTTGTTATCAACTCAAGGAAAAAAATCTCGTATATATGTACTATGTATGAAGAAAATATATCTTGAATCTTGATTATTATTATTTTATTATATATATATATATATATGTATATAATATATATATATACATACATTATTATTATTGTTATGTATATATGTATATATATACATGTTATGAAAGAATGTTAATTTATTTAAATTAGTTCTTTGTTAATGTTTAGAGTTACACATTTCTGTAAAAATTAAAAAGCATATTACAGTATTCCTTTGTTAATGTGACCTTTACCTCCGATATTTCATCATTACGAATTAATTTAAATGTTTTGTTTAGTATTTCTATCATTGATGGAAAGCTCTACGTACCCCTCTATTTTAAATTCCTGGATCCACCACTGCAGAACACAAACTAGGAATATCACTTTTTGGCGGTAAAGGATTATCTAACTTTAAGTATTTATCCAATAGGCATACGGCTCTTGATCCCCGACCTGCCCGTCATGTTTACCAAACCACTGCTGCTGCGAATCTCTTGTTGTTTTTACCCACGACGGTGAAGGTAGAATAGGATAGTCGTCGAAATGCTTTAGCATATTGGGTCAACGTTCGGCAAAGTGGCGTTTAGCAAACTGTGTTTCGTGATTTTTGAGGATCCTGTCACTGAATGACGACCATGTTTCTTCAGAAGATGGTATTACAACACAGTAACAGTTACTGGTTTCGGCAAATTCGACACGGCAATCTGGCATTCGGTAAACTGGTCGGACACGGAAAGGATTGGCAATTGGCCTGCTCCCGATAATGCCTTTGGCAGCGGCCTGCTTTAATGCTGTCAGTACCCTCATTTTAGATTATTAATTAGAACGTTTTGTGAAGGCCAATTAATACGACCAAAAAAACTGTCAAATTAACATTTAATCATATATTTATTTTTCAGACAAATATCAACTACCAAAATATGTATAGGCTCTACAGGCCTAATACAAAAATAGTATTCCTAGTACACGCTGAATGCCTGGTTATTAGCCCAGGCCTATCAAGAGGCTTTCTAAATAACTCAATATTAATATAGTATATAATGTACATACACCACGTCACGCCAATTACAAAACATCAGTAACAATCATACACCATGTATGTATGTAATTTTTGTACCGCGACATTTTTTTTGGATACAAAACGCTACAATTACAATTACAAATTAATAAATTAAAAACTAATATATCTAAATATTTGGTTAGGTCATCTGCATAAACAGCAGAAGGTTCCGGGTTCGAATCCCGGTGGTTGGGGGCAACCTATTTTACACTCGCAGATCAATCTTTAGAACTAACGTTCAACATTTTTTATTACAGCATTACCGCAAGAGGGCTTCGATATGCACCATGATTTATAAATAATAATAATAATAATAATAATAATAATAATAATAATAATAATAATAATAATAATAATAATAATAATAATAATAATAATAATAATGTCATCTTATAAGGCGCACGTATTTATCTATTGGTAGAGTGCTCACAGCGCCGTTTTCCACCTGCAGAGTGTACACGTAGCGGTTTTTTTTCTGATTTCTTATTTTGAATTAATTTTAATTATTTATTTATAGGCATACATTTACATTTATATGTAAATATACACATATATATAGTATTTAGAAATAATATATTTCATTAATCGCCTCGTAATTTCAAAACATTGTAAGGTATGTTATAAATTCGGTGACTATTTCCACCATTCCACCCCGCAGTCTCCCAAGCAGATAAATTGTACTCCCCTGTTGGATGCCATAGTCTTCCAATGTTTGACCATCTTCTAGGGGTGTGCTTTGAAATGTCAATCGCTGTTGGTCTATAGGCATACCTTCCTTTTTTGATATCTCGACTTTTAGTTGTCTCACAGTAGTAGATCTCTGCATGTTACGGTAATTAATGGTTTTACCATCTGTATTGACTACAAAAATGTCAAAGTTTGAATTAGGCTCCATAAAACCACTGAAAAGAGAATATAAATAAATAACAGTTGAAGTTTAATTATATTCTACACTTTAATTTACAAACAATGGATAATAATGTACTGTAACATTATCATTGCATAACGTTACCTTAATGAATAATGTGAATCCTTCTTTGGCGTTTACTACTGTTTATTGTTTTTAAATACATTTATAGTCCAATATTTACAGAGCCCTTAGCTACTTCCCCTGATATTTATATATTTTCGAGGCGTTCGATGCCTCGATGTTTTGATTTTCAGATCAAAAGTAACTTGAAGCTGGTTTTAAGTGAGTTTATTCGAAAATGTTATCTATACGCATGCGCAATTGAGAATCTCATGATGAAAATTTAACTGCGTTCCAGTAAAAAATATAATCCAATGAAACAGAAACCCTGACAAATTAGCATTTTGAGCGCTTTATAAGTGCCTTTCTATTTTCTTTAAATTTGTATTCGGTGTTTGTTAGGGACCTAAATTTGTAACTTTTTGTGTCCTTTACATCCTGTGGGCCTACAGATGACATTTAATTGTTCATAATGGATTTGTGAATATTCTATTTAAATTTTCATTTATTTAGGTGTTGCAGGGACCTGATGAAACAACATTTTTATGTCCTTTGCATATATGTAGGCCTACAGATACAAGTTGTTATCATGGATCAATCCATCACTGTATTATAACCTCCAACAAATTTCGTACCGGTTATTAAAAATCAACGGTTAGAAGAGCTGGCAAAAGCTTATATCTCAGTAGGCCTATATAACATTGAACGTGTAATCACCGTAGCTGATCATTCCAACAATTTCATACCATAGCTATTAAAAATCAACTTTCAGAAGAGCAGACAAATATAAAATTAAATGCATACTATTTATTTAGCAATAATTAGGAGCAATTTTGTGAAATAATAGGTTGGACCTTTTAGAATTTGGGTGGAGAGGGGTGCGTCCGCACCCCCTGCACCCCCTGCCTACGGGCCTGAAAAATCAATAGTTCGAATTGTTTCTACTTTTTGCGAAGCGAAAAAATGCGCAACCAATCAGAGCTCAGGAAGCGAGCCGACGGTTTCGATTCGAGCGAATTAATTCTCCTAGTGTAAAACCGACTTTCCCATGAGTTTAAAGGTTCTAAAATCGATTAAATAAGCCTCTCATAATATTCATTACAATGCTTGAGCTTTGACAACATTCTCCCGTGCACCTCCATCAGAGATTCGCTTCTGGAAACCAAAATGACCTGGCCTCAGGTTTCGCTTGCGTGCCCCATTTTCGATCGACAACTTTGACCCTCTCGTTGCTAAAATTCTAGCGCGCGCGACTATTACACCACTCCCTGCTAATTTTAGACGCAGAAGCCGGCCGGTACTCTCAAGTACAGTAATAAAGTAGTATATTCTGGTGTGTCTAAAACAGGCTTAGATTATAATTTTATAGACTGTCGCTCACCTTTCACATCGGAAACTTTCATGTAGCAGATGATTGATAATGCTCTCATCGCTTCGCATAACCCTTCTCAACCAGCCGAGAATGTTCTTCAGTGAGTCAGTATCATATCGGTCAAACAGATTCACTGATCTGCAAAAGAAGTTTGGCATGTTACGATTTTCAAGGAACTCCATCAATGTATTCACTAGATCCCTGAATCTGTCGGCCAAGTCGTTCTGATGCCATCTAAGATGAGGCCGATCGTTGTTGAGATACAGCAAGCAAGTCTTCAGGTGATATGACGACAACATTCCAAGTTGCGATACTCCTCTCTTCTTTTGGATTGTCTTAAGGATTTTTAAGCAATCTCGACGGCATTCATTCATCTCATCCATTTGAGTGATTATTGCCTTCTCTTGCTCGGAGAAACTCTCTCTCCACATACGATCATACACGTTACTTTTGGTATTTCTTAACGAATTAGGAGGGCTTTTGGCGACAAAACTTCGACCGTTCAGCTGCAAACAAGGAACAATGTCGATGGACAATTCTTTGCCGTAATCGTAGACGACATGTAGAGTGATGGCTGGGCCAGTAGGTCTGAGGTTGATACTAAAATTTCTACCGCTCATGCTGTTGACGGCTCTTTGGACCACCGACTGCATGTTCTGCCGTACTTTTGCTGGAATTAATCCACCTTGCTCGGTAAAATTATCACACGTTGTAACAGTTGATCCGTGCTGCTTTGTGATCATATAATAACCTGACGTTCCCTGTTGACTTGAAGTAGCGATTATCCAGTCATGGTTGTTTAAGTTAAGAGGAACCAAAAGGTCGAACTCATCTGCCTTTATCACCTTCAACCCCTCATATGAGCTCCCCTGATGGAAGATTTGTCTAAAATTGTATGGTGATCCACTGTTGTATTGTTGAAATTTTTGCTTGATATCTTGCACGATTGCTTTGGCTCGAGTTTGCTCATCAGGTGGAATGTCTACATACTTTATTCTGTACTGCCTTAGCTCACTGAGCAGCAGCGACTGATTTCGGGCTTCACACATGTTGCGCTGCAGAGAAAGAAATTATTATTTATTATTAGTAGTATTATCATCATTAAAAATGATAATATTACTATTATTATTAGCAAATCATATTTTTATCATTTTCATTATATCATCATTATCATGTAACTACAATTATAGGCTAAATGCTATTCTTATTAATATTAGGCCTACCATATCTCATCACAATAAATGTATTGCTATGTTGTATCAAAACACATTAAAACCGTTGGTTATTACAAAATTAATCACAATTTTATATCATAAAAGGTACACAGAAATACGTACTGTAAATATCAAATAATCCTGAAATCATGCTCAGTGAGTTCAACGAGGAGAAGGGCCTGTTTATACTTGCAAAGATAACGATAACGATAAAAATCTAAAAAGCAATTGTTCATATAGAAAATATAAGAAATAAAAGAAGGTTTTACACTAGGACGATGCGATAATCGTGGTAAAAATATAACATCGTTGTTACTACTACGATTTTATCTTTTTCTATGATTATGACGTCATTTGAATCGATTTGTCAAAATATTTTGTTATACACGATAAATCGTTATCGAATCGTCCTAGTGTAAAAAGGTCTCTTATTTCTTTTATTTTCTATGTGAACAATTGTTTTTTTGCTTTTTATCAGGCAACCTAGGACATAGACTGGATCCTAGTCCCTGAACCTTATCCTAATCAGTGAAAATATTAAAAATAATCAATTTTTAATCAATGCAAGTATAAGGGCCAGGCTTTTTATACCTTGTTTCGCGAACTTATTTTGTCAAAAGAACGCCAGAGGAGGGCGGAAAGAATATAGAAATAAAAATTTTGTTTTTTTTTAAATTTAGCAATAGTTTTGCCAAAAACATCCAGATTGAGGAGAAAGTACGCATATAATTTTATTGGTGGATGTAAACAGTGTAGTAATGGGATGGTTAATTTCTTTAAATTTATATAATTAGGAAGAAATATACATATCGTAGAGATGTCAAAGCACAGGCGGGCGTAATAAAATTAAAGAAAACCTCTTATTTTATTCCTAAATTACTTTACTTATTTTTTTTGTGGTGGCGCGCGCTTGCGTTAATTGGCCAAAAATAAAATTTTATTTTTATTCGAAATCATCATTATTGGCGGGCGTCAGGTTCACTAAACAAGGTATAAAAGATCTTCCCTATGTGGGGAGGATTTAAAGGAACCTTCACGTTGCCCTCCCTGCAAGTAACCCTAACACCTGTGAAACTAATGCTTCATACTAGACTTGCCACAAGTTTCTAAATTTATTTTCCTAGTATTAGCTAATTTTGGAGAGCGCTACCAGTGTCGGTATGTCGAGAAACTGTTATGTCGTTGAATTTGGATGCGAATTAGAAACCCAAAAAAAAAAATAATAATAATATGGAACGCCAACCAAATAAAAAATACGGAACGCCATTGGTGCCAAAATCGATTTTTTTTTCATGCTTTTTCACTGATTAATACAAAGCTAAAGGACTGCAAATTTGTAAATCAAGAGAAGAGGGGGTGGCGCCAGAATTTGCCCGACGGGGGAGGGGTCCGACGAGGGGACAGAAAAACATGATAATATAGGGGTTTCAAATGATCATTTTATCGATTTTAGAGTCTCAGCGAATTGTGGTTTTTCTCCCTGACGGTGGAGGGGGAAACTCTCCCCGACGGGGGAGGGGCCTGCCCTCCGGCCTCCGCGCTGGTTTTAATCTATATTTAACTGGTTTTTTACATTAAAAAATACAAGTTGGAGGTTGAAATAAAAAGCCAACATATGCCTACACATTTCATATTTTCATTATTATTATAATTACGACACAGGTTCGGTATACCCTAAACTAACAAATAGGCATATTAAACAAAATACTGTTTACCTTTATATGCAGGATCACAATAATATATAAAAAACGTTAAAAAATTCGCTCCGAAAGCTGTTTCTTTTCAGGTTCTGGCTACATTGAAATGAGCAAGCACGGAATGAAATTGCGAATTTTGGCCTATTATTCTCGGGATTTTCCAGTCAGGATGCATGATGGGATATTTTGCCCCAGAAGTGACTTCCTCCAGCGCGGCACCCTGCATCAAAGAATATAGATCTATATACTTTGCCTGCACTGTCAAAATTATTGTCGGGGAGACTCGTTTGGTACCGGTATACCCTAAACAAACAGATAGGCCTGGGCATATATAAACAAAATACTGTGAAATTGTTACCTTATATGCAGGATCAAAATAATGTATTATATATAAAACCGTGAAAAAGTCGCTCCCAAAACTGTTTCTTTTAGGTTCTGGCTACATTGAACTCGAAAGAAATTGCGAATGTTGGCCTATTATAAAGAGGTCTCTCGGGAATTTCCAGTCAGGATGCATGATGGCATAATAGGTCCATGATGGCATGATTTGCCCCGGAAGTGACTTTCTCTAGCGTGGCACCCTGTTGTTAACATTAATGAAATCTTATCAATCATTTACAGATAGAAGGCCTTAAATAGGAAATCCTGAAATTGGTCACAATTGAATACACAGGGCTACACTCTTTGCAAAGGAACACTTCAGTGAAAATATTAATATTTGCCTAGATCGTTAATGTTACATTCATTAACCAGTAGCGTACGATGCGTCTGTGTCGTTATTTGTTGTAGTTGTAAAACACTGTATATAGGTCTACAGTGTGTGGTTGTATATGTGGGCGGGGTGTAGGTGTGAGTATGTGTGTGTAATCTCAATGACATGACATCATGATAATGGCACATGGGCCTTTCTGGAGTGTCAATCATACTTAACAACGGACCAATCAGAACAGAACCACGAATACGTACGCGCACATCTTGCAAGTACACGTAACTGCTTAAAATGCTTTGATACACTAGGGAGCTTTCGATTGCACGACGACGGTAGGGCGTAGAACGTAATGACGTCACTAAAAGTCACCTGCGCATGCGATAACGTTAAGGTCACCTCGTCGAGTAGATTCTGGGACGCAATTTGGCCAAATCTACGTATGCAGCGAAGAGCGAACGTAGGACGCCAGGTAGGACGGTCACGCATGAGTGATTCCGTTCTAGCGTCGCGTCGTCGTACAAATCGAAAGTTAGTAGAATGGTCCATTCATCAGTAGTGTAGCTACGGTATGTTTATGTAGGTACGGGGTATGTTTTTGTAGTGTAAGTGTGTATCTATTTATGTATATTTAAACTTTCTTTGTATTTTTCCTTGCGAAATATAAAGCGTTTGTATAAAGTGCCTTTTCCAAGACCACAAGCGAAATGCAAAGAAAAGGTTCGAACCCCCAACCTCGAGATCGGCATGCAACCGATGCGCCAACCGCTTCCACTTTCAATGTATGAGGCAACCAGTTATATCAAGAATTGATATTTGAGACTTTTTAATTATCATGTACATGTATTAAGTTTTGAATAAATTTGTTATCTATTCACTAAGCTTCACAATGAATGCAAGGCATTCTTGTATTATGTTTGTCTTGTGTATTACGTTTTGTTAGAGATTTCAATTTATGAGTAAAAGAGTGATATTTGCTTTTGGCAGTTCATGTCTTATGTGCTGAAATACAGTACGTCAATAAAGATATTAAATGTATTTTTCCATGCAAAATACCCAAAAAATTATAAAAATCATTATTGAAATTAACTTGGTCATTTTGAGGTAACATAAAAATTATCAAATTTAACAAAGAAATCTGTGTATTTAAAACATGTTTAGCCACAATCTACAGCAAAAAAATGACAAACACTTCCAGTCACAGAAATGTTTTATTATTTATATTATTATTTATCCAGTATAAAAAAATCAGGATACACATTTTTTTTAATTAAAAATGTCTATGCTAGATAATAATTTTTATGTTACTACAATATGAGCAAATTAATTTAAAATGCTCATTTTATCGATTTAAGAGTCTACTAATATATAGAAAAATATACATTTTTTTTCTCAGCGAATTTGGTTTTCCTCCCTGACGGGGGAGGGGGCCTGCCCTCCGGCCTCCGCGCTGGTGCCACCCCTGCGTGAGAAGAAGATTTAATCTATTTAACTGTTTTTTTACATTAAAAATTACAAGTTGGTGGTTGAATAAAAAAAGTCAACATACACATTTCATATTTTCATTATTATTATAATTAGGACCCACGTTCGGTATACCCTAAACAAACTGATAGGCATATCAAACAAAATGCTGTTTACCTTTATATGCAGGATCACAACAATATATAAAAATCGTGAAAAATTCGCTCCGAAAGCCGTTTGTTTTCAGGTTCTGCCTACATTGAAATGAGCACGGAATGAAATTGCGAATTTTGGCCTATTAAAAATAGGTCTTATGCGTTCTCGGAAATTTCTAGTCAGGATGCATGATGGGATATTTTGCCCCGGAAGTGACTTCCTCCAGCGTGGGACCGTGCACCAAAGAATATAGATCCATTATTTGCCTTCACTGTCAAAATTAATGAAATCTTATCGATCGTTTACATGATGGATATGAAGGCCTTAAATGGGAAATTCTGAAGTTGGTCACAACCAATGCCGTAGCCAGCTATTGGGACAGTTGGGATAGTCCAACACACTTTTTCTAATGAGTCCACATTTTTAAAATGGGTCCAAATTATGCAATTTTATGCATAAAATCAGTGGCGTAGAAAAGTATTTTTCATTGGTGGGGGGGGGATGATTGAAAATTCTTGGAATTGACATAAAATTACTGATGTCGTTCACACCCTTCAGTGTGAAAATGTGGCTTGCTTTGCAAGCACATCTAATATCTAAGGAAAGGAAAGCTTAGATTGGTACCAGATAAAATAATTTTGTTATCAACATTAATACATTATGCTAATTTTCATCTTTGTAAGCGCATAAGACATTGCAAATTATTTCTGTGACAGTCTTTTGAAGTGTGTAAAGCTCCATTTTATCCCATACAGTCAAAATATTGGGGGGATGATACAATGGACCATCCCCCCTTGTCAAATATTGGGGGATATATCTCCCATCCCCCCCCCCCGGGATCTACGCCTATGCATAAAATGAATCCACTTTTTGATAAAATGGGTCCAGATTTCTTATATTTAGCCTAAAATGTGTAAAATTTTAAGAAAATTGGTCCAGATTTTTCATATTTTTGCGTAAAATGGGTTAACTTTTAAGAAAACGGGACCACATTATTTAAATTTACGCGTAAGGGTCCACCCTGATACTGTCCCGCATTGTTTGAAAATCCTGGCTACGGCATTGGTCGAAATTGAATACACAGGGCTACATTTTTTGCAAAGGAACACTTCAGTGAAAATTCAAATTTGCCTAGATCGTTTAATGTTACATTCATTAACGATCTAGGTACGATGCGTCTGTGTCGTTATTTGTTGTAGTTGTAACACTGTATATAGGCATACAGTAGGCCTATGTGGTTGTATGTGGGCGGGCTGTATGTGTGTGTGTGTGTGTGTAATCTCAATGACATGACATCATGATGATCAGCGCTTGCAAATCCTGTGGCAGTAGGCTATTAATGGTTCTTAAACTCACTTTTTTGCATTTACTAGATGTTTTTAAGTTACACAAGTTATGTATCTCTTTATTTATGTTTGATCTCTATTATGATAAATTGCCTCAAGATTTAAATGAATATTTTACACTTATCACGCATCCACATGAAACTAGAAAAATCAAAGGGAAATCTATATCAGCCGAAAGCAGCCACTACAACTGGACAATTTTCAATTAAATACCAATGCACATTCGTTAAATTAAACACAGAAACATGCATTCAAAACCAAATTCAGAGAATTAAAATAATAATAAAAAGTTTTTACTTCGATTTCCATTTCGATTTTTCTCTGGCACGCTTTTACCTTATTATTACTATTATTAATAATATTATTCAAGCGTTTGTGTTTGATAATAAAGAAAGAAGAGAGTGAGAAGAGAGACGTATCATTCATTTCACAGATCAATTTACAGATCAATTTACAGATAATAATGAGAATGAATATACATATATGAGAATCCATATACACATTAATGAAGACAATAACGCAGGATAAGGTTGGCTTTATTCATCCAAAAGAAAAAAGGGAATCAAGAAGGGAAATTAAAAATAGCTTGCTACGATCTGAATATATAATTTCTACATGAATAGTTAAGCATTTATTATTCAAACCATTTATGGTACGAGGTTGTACCATATGTACCGTAGTATAAGCTATTATGGTTGAATAACAACATTGTGGTTTGACATCTACTTTGCATTGCAACTCTCATCATTATCTTTCAAAGTGTTGATCCTTCACTTGGCTGTTGTGACCGTATCAATTCACTGAACACATTCCGCCCTCTGTTTCTGTACTAGTGCTTGCGCAAGAAGAGGCTGGAACATCTGAAGTCGGCGTCACAATACCACTGAAAATAGAAAATGTTATATAACATAACAGTTTAAATTGATTATATTCTACACTTAAAATTATAAACAATTGACAATAAATGTAGTTCAGTATACATTATTCAACAAATAGCAATGACATAAAGTATAATTAAAAAAACAACAACAACAAAACAAAAAACAACAAAGTGTGAAAATAAATATACATTGCTTACATTGTATATATATATATATATGTATATATATATAGTTAAAATTTGATAAACAATGTATATATATATGTATATATATATTGTTTATCAAATTCTGATTAATACACGTAATTAAGATTATCACTGCATAACGTTACTTTACTGAATCGTGTGAATCTGTTCTTCTTTGGTGTTTACTACTGTTTTTTCATTACATTTTCCTAGTCCAAGTGTTATCTTTAGCTTACTTTCCCATGATATATCTCGACATTTTCCAGACTTTGGATGCAAAGTTTCGGTTGTCAGATCAAAAGTTACATGAAGTCAATTGAGAAACTCATGATGAAAATTAAACTGCGCATGCATATTGAGAATTTTTACCCATGCATGTACAATTGAGAATCTCATGATGAAAATTAAACTGCGCATGCGTATAGGCGAAAAGTTTTAATTTGTGCGGAAGTGGAAAATGGCTTTTAAGGCCTGTACATGCTTACAACGATAAGGATAAAAAGCTAAAAAGCAGTTGTTCATATAGAAAATAAAAGAAATAACAGATTTTACACTAGGACTTCATTGAAAAACGATAAAATCGTTGTTACTACTACGATTTTATCGTTTTTCCATGATTAGGGCCCCCCCCCCATATGACGTCATTTGAATTGATTTGTCAAAATATTTTGTTATCGTATACACGATAAATCGTTATCGAATCGTCCTAGTGTGAAAACTGTTATTTCTTTCATTTTCTATATGAACAATTACTTTTTAGCTTTTTATCATTATCGTTATCGTTGCAAGTATAAACAGGCCTTTACACTAAGCAAATTTATTTGCGAGAATCGAAAGCGTCGGTTCACGCGGCGCATTCACATTTGTATAAGTGTTTATCGCTTCAGCAAAATTAGTAGTTCGAAAAAACGCGGAACCAATCAGAGTTCAAGCACGGGACCAACTGCGAATGAATTCACCTAGTATAAAACCGGCTTTAAATATAGAGGCCCATGACATTTTTAAAGATTTAAAAACCGATGAAATAAACCTCTTATAATACTGATATTCATTTCAATGCCGGAGCTTTGGCAACATTCTCCCATGCACCTCTACCAGACTGGAAACCATAATGCATGGACACTGGCCGATTACACTAGTTTCCGCTTGCGTGCCCCCATTTTTGGTGCAGGATTTTGGCTCTCTCGTCTCGCATATGCTAGCATTACACCACTCGCTGCTAAATTATGACGCAAAAGCCGACCGGTATATTCTCAAGTAATCAAGTAGTAGGCCTATATTATGGGGTAGGCTTAGATTATAATTTTTATAGACTGTCGCTCACCTTTCAGACCGGTAACTTTCATGTAGCAGTTGATTGATTATGCTCTCATCGCTTCGTATAGCCCTTCTCAACCAGCCGAGAATGTTCTTCAGTGAGTCAGTATCATATCTGTCAAACAGATTCACTGATCTGCAAAAGAAGCTTGGCATGTTACGATTTTCAAGGAACTCCATCAATTTATTCACCAGATCCTTAAACCTGTCGGCCAAGTCGTTCTGATGCCATCTAAGATGTGGCCGATCGTTGTTAAGATGCAACAAGCAAGTCTTCAGGTGATATGACGACAACATTCCAAGTTGCGATACGCCTCTCTTCTTTTGGATTGTCTTAAGGATTTTTAAGCAATCTCGACGGCATTCATTCATCCCATCTATTTGAGTGATTATTGCCTTCTCTTGCTCTGAGAAACTCTCTCTCCACATACGATCATACACGTTACTTTTGGTATTTCTTAACGAATTAGGAGGGCTTTTGGCGACAAAACTTCGACCGTTCAGCTGCAAACAAGGAACAATGTCGATGGACAATTCTTTGCCGTGATCGTAGACGACATGTAGAGTGATGGCTGGGCCAGTAGGCCTGAGGTTGATACTAAAATTTCTATCACTCATGCTGTTGACGGCTCTTTGGACCACCGACTGCATGTTCTGCCGTACTTTTGCTGGAATTAATCCACCTTGCTCGGTAAAATTATCACACGTTGTAACAGTTGATCCGTGCTGCTTTGTGATCATATAATAACCTGAGGTTCCCTGTTGACTTGAAGTAGCGATTATCCAGTCATGGTTGTTTAAGTTAAGAGGAACCAAAAGGTCGAACTCATCTGCCTTTATCACCTTCAACCCCTCATATGAGCTCCCCTGATGGAAGATTTGTCTAAAATTGTATGGTGATCCACTGTTGTATTGTTGAAATTTTTGCTTGATATCTTGCACGATTGCTTTGGCTCGAGTTTGCTCATCATGTGGAATGTCTACATTCTTTATTCTGTACTGCCTGAGCTCACTGAGCAGCGGCGACTGATTTCGGGCTTCACACATGTTGCGCTGCAGAGAAAGAAATTATTATTTATTATTATTGTTATCATCATTAAAAATGATAATACTGTATTACTATTATTATTAGCAAATCATATTTTTATCATTTTCATTATATCATCATTATCATGTAACTATAATTATAGGCTAAATGCTATTCTTATTAATATTAGGCCTACCATATCACATCACAATAAATCTATTGCTATATTGTATAAAAACACATTAAAACCGTTGGTTATTACAAAGTTAATCACAATTTTATATCATAAAAGGTACACAGAAATACGTACTGTTAATATCAAATAATCCTGAAATCATGCTCAGTGAGTTCAACGAGGAGTAAGGCCTGTTTATACTTTCAAGGATAACGATAACGATAAAAATCTAAAAAGGAATTGTTCATATAGAAAATACAAGACATAAAAGAAGTTTTTACATTAAGACCATGCGATAATCATGGAAAAAATATAACATCGTTGTTACTACTACGATTTTATCGTTTTTCCATGATTATGATGTCTTTGATTTGATTTGTCAAAATATTTTGTTATCGAATACACGATAAATCGTTATCGAATTGTCCTAGTGTAAAAGGTCTCTTATTTCTTTTATTTTCTACAGTATATGAACAATTGTTTTTTAGCTACAGGTATTGCTTTTTAACTTACAGGAAGTCGGGAAATTGCCAATTTATGGATGCATGATCAGGAAACCTAGTACATAGACTGGATCTTAGTCCCTAAACCTTGTCTTAATCAGTGAAAATATTAAAAAACAATCGATTTTGGCACATAGGGCCTATCGTAGTTTTGGAGATGTCAAGGCAGCGGCGGGCGTAATAAAATTAAAGAAAACTGTTTAGTGTATTTTATTTTAAAATTACAATTTTTTCGGCGGCGCTTGCGTTAATTGGTCAAAAATAACATTTTATTTTTATTCGAAATCATCATTATTGGCGGGCGTCAGGTTCACTAAACAAGGTATAAAAGATCTCCCCTATATGGGGAGGATTTAAAGGAACCTTCACGTTGCCCTCCCTGCAAGTAACCCTAACACCTGTGAAACTAATGCTTTATACTAGACTTGCCACAAGTCCCTAAATTTATTTTTCTAATATTAGCTAATTTTGGAGAGCGCTACCAGTGTCGGTTATGTCAAGAAACTTGTTATGTTGTTGAATGTTGATGCGAATTAGAAACGAAAAAAAAAAAAATAATAATAATAATATGGAACGCCAACCAAATAATTGGTGCCAAAATCGATTTTTTTTTTACATGCTTTTTTTACACTGATTAATACAAAGCTTAAGGATTGCAATTGTAAATCAAGAGAAGAGGAGTGGTGCCAGGGTGCCCGACAGGGGAGAGGTCCGACGTCCCCGACGAGGGGACAAAAGACATGATAATTTAGGTGTTTCAAATGCTCATTTTATCTATTTTAGCGTCTACTAATATGTAGAAAGATATAAATTCTTTTTTTCTTAGCGAATTGTGGTTTTTCTCCCTGACGGAGGGGGGGGGGGAGGGGGAGGGGGGCCTGCCCTCCGGCCTCCGCGCTGGTGCCACCCTGCGTGAGAAGAAGATTTAATCTATATTTAACTGGTTTTTTACATTAAAAATTACAAGTTGGTGGTTGAAATAAAAAAGTCAACATACACATTTCATATTTTCATTATTATTATAATTATGACACACGTTCGGTATACCCTAAACAAACAAATAGGCATATTAAACAAAATACTGTTTACCTTTATATGCAGGATCACAATAATATACAAAAACGTGAAAAATTCGCTCCGAAAGCTGTTTCTTTTCATGCTCTGGCTACATTGAAATGAGCACGGAATAAAATGGCGAATTTTGGCCTATTAGGTCTCATGTGCGTTCTCGGGAATTTCCAGTCAGGATGCATGATGGGATATTTTTCCCCGGAAGTGACTTCCTCCAGCGTGGGACCCTGCACCAAAGAATATAGAGCTATATTCTTTGCCTGCACTGTCAACATTATTGTCGGGGAGGCTGGACCCCTTCTGTCGGGGAATTGATGGCGCCGCCCCTGTCATTTTGTAGGACCTTAGCTGCAATATCCAAGGGGGTGGGGCTGAGTAGATAGGTTCATTCATCAGTAGGGTAGGTAACTTACAGACGGGGTAAGTGTGTATTTATTTATTTATGTATATTTAAACTTTTTTTTATTTTTCCTTGTGAAATATGAAGCATGAAGTCTTCAGTAGCTTTCATTTCACAAATCAATTTATAGAAACTATAATAATCAAATCCATGAGAATCCCTATTATAAATATTAATGAAGACAATAACGCAGGGTACTGTATGGCCGGTAAACTTTATTCATCAAAAACGAAAAGGGAAAAACGAATGGAAATTAAAAATAGCTCGCTACTATCTCAATATTTCCAAGATATCAAATGCCCAAGAAATATAAAGCATATCATGAATGCTATATATGAAAATTTAATTTTATAAGTGTTACATGCATATTTTTTAACTGATGAATTTAAATTATTTATTATATTTATAATGGTCAAGCATGGTCAAGTAAAGGCACTCAGTATTTAAATTAGGCACATCCTGGGACATTAGCTGGCCAATCACATGCATTGTTAGCAGGGTTGAAAACAGTCCCGCTTGGGCAAGTTTGGTGCCAAGTATTGCCGCCTGCGCATTGATAGTACTTGGAACAGTCCGCTGGGTCGGCGTACGTGCCGTCGGCTTTTCCTTTACAGGTAAATATACCTCCATCACCTCCGCCATTGTCGCCACCACCTGTGAAAATTAAGCATTAATATTAATTTGTTGATTTATAGATTATTATTTGCAATAGGATAACTGGACCCTGAAATCATGTTAGAAGATGGGGAAAAGTACAACAGGCAGAGAGAGAACTCGGACAATATAGCGGCCTACTCACTGTTTTTAGTTGTTGGTACTGGTTTTTGAGTCACGATTGGTTTATTTGTAGGCTTTGGTGGTGAATATGTTGGCAATGGGCCTGGACTGTTTCCATCGTCTAAAGCAGCCTTTATCTGATTCATTAGTGGGTACTTTCCAGCCCCGCATACCGAACCCGAGAAATCATCAAGATCGAGAGCCCATACAATCACACCACCGTATCCTTCTTTCTTGAGCCAATCCAGCTGAGGAAATTAAAATAGATATACGATTGATTGATTGATTGATTGATTGATTGATTGATTGATTGATTGATTGATTGATTGATTGAATAATTGATTGACTAGTGGTTGGTTGGTTAGTTGATTGATTGATTGATTGACTGACTGAAGAACAAGTAATTTGTATTTTTTATGTATTAGTTAAATAATTTGATATCAGTGGTTAGTGTTGAAAACTATAAACACTATACTACTGGTATTTGTAGTCATAAAAAAGTTTGTGGAGGTAGAACGAAGGACAATCATTCGTGTTCGTGAATATAAAACAAATAAACATATCTCTCAACTAATGCTTCGAACCTAGTAAATTTATGACCATGATATCACTGTCAAGTGCGATAAAAATTGTTTCGGTCGGGAAAAACTGTCACTGCAACGAAGCGCACGCGGCAGATCCGATCGTTTTGAATGACGATCAGCTTAAACTAATAATCAGTAGAGGGTGCTGTCGTGGTCAAGCGCTCACACAGAACGCAGTGGCGTATCTGAGAGTCTTGAATGAGGGTACTGAAGATTGAGGGTGGGCGAAGACGAAGTGGCGACGTGATGGTCAGTTGAGTGGCCCTAATTCGCAAAATAAGGTGATTTTAGGTGATTTTAACTACTTGACCGTGCTTTGGGGTAGGGGGCGACTGGGTAGTTTTTGGAGGGGCGTGTACCCCTCTTCCGCGCACCCCCTAGATACACCACCGGCAGAACGGAGATGGATTCGTCAGCCAAAGAACCGACCGTCGTTCTATTGGGGAGGTTAACAAACCAAACACGATTCATCATTGAGTGCAATTTCCGTTATTGCTTCAAGAAATAAAAAAAAACAAGGTATCTTTATTTCAGAAAATCAAAATATCATCGCAGCACAAAGCTGAATTGAGAAAAAATGTACAAATAGTCGTCAAAAAAAAAACTATAAAAATAAAATTCGTATAATCATTTATCTCACAGAAAACTCAGAAAAATATCAATGCACTTTGGATTATAATAGATAATAAAAATCTTTTAACAAAGAAAAAACGTGCATATCAGACAGACATTTAAAATGTATTGTAAAAGAATTATTAAAATTTACATTGTATTATAAATTAATTAGTCGGAAAAAAAAAACAGAAAGAAAAAAAGTAATCAGTCGATCAGCATACCTTGATCTTGTAGCTTGAAGGATCGTCATAGCCAACCCATTGGTTACCACTGTATAAATAAGGGGCTTGGATTTCATTGTCAAATACACGTGTTTCTCCACTCATTGCGCAAGCCTATAAAAAAAAGTGACATTTTTAAAGATTGTCTAAACTATAGAATTTCATGTGACAAAAAAAATGTTATGTGCCCATATATGTTTACGTTGACGTCATATCACATCAAATTGTATCAACAAATTTAACGTGTTCAACTCTATGTTCCACCATGTGACGCTTTTTGATGAAATTTGATAGTGTAGACAAAGCTTCAAATTAAACTGTCGCCTTGATAAAAGGAAATTACAAGAGCTTCTCTGTACTGTCTCCTTTACAATATTTTAGAAATCATTATATAGAAGAAATGTGAAAAAAAAAGCAAATAGTAAAAAAATGGTTTAGAGATAGCAAATGCCTACTGTTTTCTTTTTTATATTATGACTAATAAGCCTAGTCTTTTTTTTAAACCTTTTTTAATCATGACTACCAATCTTTATTTGCGAGCTTTATAACTAGCAAGTATAGGCCTATGAATAATTACCCTTATAACTAGTGGACGAATGGTGAGAAACCGATAGGCCTACACGATAATTGAGTATGGTTTAAAATTGTGTTCAGTGGTCCTATATACTTCAAATAATTCGAGGACCAATTAAGTTTGTTTTCTGCGATTTGCTACGATATTGGTCTAAGGCAGCAATCAACGATGGCAATCAAAACAACAATAGAAATTCAATTAGATTGAATTGGTAGGCCTATAACTACAATATACCGGTATACTCTTTAAAGTTTATACTTGACCTCGTAATATGAAATAAATCCCTTCTCCCTTGTGTACGTTCCAGCAGTGCCTGCTCCGCTTACTGGAGCCCCAATACCGTTACTAGAGGAGCTCAGGGTGAAGGAGCGGCCATAGGTTCCAAGACCAATCATCAGCTTGTCCTTAGGACAACCTTCGGCAACCCATTTTTCAGCAGCCCAAACCTAAAAGCAATTTTATTTCGACGATAAAAACATTCCACTTAATATTCATGGAGGATTTAACTGATTATGAGCTTCTTTATATAATGAAAATGTTTTACGGTCTGACCATAGAGAAAGAATGAATGAATAATAATAATATACACTATTTACAACATGCAAATAATGTAATATTTTACCAAAATGGCTGCATAGGGACGTCGGCCCTGCTTTTATATACGAGAATGAGTGATGTTTCAATTTGATTTTGACAAAGCGTTCACAACCTGAGGAGAACTCAGTTTACATAGGCACCTACCATGGTGAGCTTCTTATCGTCGTCGTTCGAACCCTTAGGTGCATAGAGGGCGCTGTGATGGCCAGTTACTGTCTCCCAAGAACCATGAAGATCATACGACATCAAACCAATCCAATCAAATTCCCTAGAATATCACGACAATCCCAATATTAACATTAAATCATTTCGTCATGAACTTTATGATCAACTCGGAACTTCACGTTGAATTGTCATATAATAATCATAATATCACTTGGTTCGATGATAATTTATCTCTTATGCAAATTCGCTAAAAATGTTCACAGCAAATCCTAAATAAATCAGCGTGTCTTAGTAGACAGTAAAATAGGCCTAAATGAAAATAAATTAATAGAATACAGAAATATTTAAAATTGGATATGTATCTGTCTCTTATACTAAGAGACAGTATATATATGTCAACACCCGTTTGTGTTATATTAGATTTTCTAATGATTTATTCAATAGAGCAATAACAACCCAAACAAAGTAAAGTTCCACTTATATAGCGCATACGGTGGTAATGCTTAGCTTCTATGATCTTCACAAAAAAACAAAAAAAAGTATTAAAAAAATGTTTGAAAGTCATGATAATCTGAAACAACAAAACGCAAAATGAAGTTCGCCCTCCCATTCGAGACCACCTTTGGGGACCTAAAAATGTTGGGTGGTCTCTAGGTTCGCTCTGGAGTACATCGTTTTTCTTCCTCTTTTTTCCCCATCTCACTTTCATTGTCACATTCCCGTTCAATTGACCCCGCCCTACTTATGCCTGAACTTATCATTTCCACATTAAGCCTTTGAACACCCTTTTTTCATTTCCCCCGGAATCCGCTCTTCTGAATCCGCTCTTCTGAATCCCTTGTAAATTATTACGAATGTTTAGTATATCGGCTTAATGTATGTTTGCTTTTGTGTTATGCAATTGTTACGGATATTGGCCCTTGATGGCATTTGTAGCTTTGAATTAAATTAAAATTGAAATTGAAATTAGTTGGTTTGCATTGTGTTAAAAGGTTAAATATTGCTATTTGGTCCTTACAAAAAGTGGTTCCCAAATTAGTGGGGTCTCAGAATTAGAGGGGTTTCGAATTGGAGAATGCACAGTATAACAAGTTACACATTGCCCTTCCACATATTACAAAATACATTGGTAATTATTAACTTGTCTACTTACTTGGCAATCTTAGCGATTTCATATCCGTTATCGATATTTGATTCACCTGCAGCTACAGCCGCTGACAGAAGCAACTTGGATTTGCCAGCTGGTGGAATTTCAGCATCATAAGCTGCACGAAGCTCCTGCCAATCAATCAATCAATCAATCAATCAATCAATCAATCAATCAATCAATCAATCAATCAATCAATCGATCGATCGATCGATCGATCGATCGATCGATCAATCAATCAATCAATCAATCAATCAATCAATCAATCAATCAACCAATCAATCAATCAATCAATCAATCAATCAATCAATCAGTCATTCAGTCAAAGTCAGTCAACCAAACCAATTTAATCATAATTATTATTATTATTCATTCATTCATTCAACCAGTCAGTCAGTCAGTCAGGCAGTCAGTCAATTAAACCAATTTAGATATATAAATCCATGTTTTAATAACACAATCAAACAAGCAAGCATCCAATCAACGATCAATTAATCAATAGACGAAATAATCAATTAATTAACCAACTAGCAAATCAATCAACAAATCATTCATTTTATCAATAAAGTAATCGCTTAGGCAAGAAAACATTACTGCTCATAACCTAGTAATAATATATAGTTTTAGAAGATTTGAAAAACGAAATCCTGGTTCTAAAATCTAATCAAATAAACAATCAATAACTAATCAATCAATAATGCAATCAACCAATTAATCCATCAACCAGCAAATCAATCAGCCAATCAATCAATCAATTAAGTAATCGCTTAAGAAAGACAAAAGTACTACTCATAACGTAGTATATTTTAGACGTTTTCAAAATGAAATCCTGGTTCTTAAAATCTCACCTGGACTAACAATGTGAAACGTTGTTTATCTTCTGGAGGGCTCCCCCTTGCGCCTGGATATTCCCAATCTAAATCCAAGCCATCGAAGTTATGCTTTCGCAAGAAAGTAATGGAAGTTGAGATGAAGTGAGCTCGGTTGCTTTTTGTTGCCACCATCGCTGTAAAGTCAGCTGAACCCATATTCCAACCGCCAATCGCAATCGTAACTTTGAGGTCCGTGTTAACATCCTTCCAATTTGTAGTCTACAGATAATAAACATTTTTAACAGTAAAACAAGTGCTGCTGGTGGTGGTGGTGTTGTCGTTAGTGGTAGTTAGTGGTAATGGTGGCGGTGGTGGTGGTTTTGGTTGTCGTTGATGACTTGATGAGGATTGTAGGTGGTGGTTGGTGGTGATAGGGGGTGGTGGTATTTGGTGGTGGTTGGTGATGTTTGTTGGTATTGTGGTAGTTGGTGGGGTTGGTTGTCTTTAGCGTTCGTCAATTTTACAAATGGAGGTAACAGACCACATCAGTCCCACCATGGTTGGTCTACGAAGGCACGAACGTTGATGTTGATGTCTATCACTTCTGGATGACCGGAAATGGTACCCTGAGTCTGAAATTTTGAATTTATTTTCCTCCATTTAAATATTAGCGGAGGCCGTCTCGGGAACCTATTCATAATTTTATAGACAGTTAAAGTGTGTACCTTTTCATACATGCCGACTGACCAATCAGTAGACTCGTCATTCCATTCAAATGGTGCTATTTCGTTATTAACCATTTTGGCAAACGCATACACAATGTGGGTACACAGGTGGGGGTCAATGTTTTCAGGTGTATATTTGGCAAATTCATTGCGGTACTGAGCCCAGTTGGTGTAGTAACAAATGCGTTTGTAACCTTCAGTAATTTCTGTAGACAATGAATACAATTCATAAAATCAGTAAACATGGATCCCAGTAATTTATTCAGAGTAAACAATTAAGTTGGAGAAAGACATTGACTAACAATAGAATTATAGATAAATATTATTTGATTATTCTTTACGATAGTACACTCTAAATGCAAAAAGAGTGAAAATAGAGTGAAAGAGTGCATACAGGGACCAAGAAAATCATCTTTGGGAAGATCATCTTGGGGAAATTCCCCTTTACTGGCCATACATTTATGCCAAGGACGTTTTTTTTTTTTTTTTTTGTCTTCAAACGATAATTCTAAGACAGATGAAATATTACTGGTTATTTGACTAAAAATCCCGTGATAGAATACTATAGGCAGGGCGATGTAAAAAGAAACAATTATTTTTTACATCTCTCTACTATAGGTATAGCTTAAATAAAACAAAAGCGTCCACTAACAAACTAATTTTCGTTATAAGACAGAACCACGTACCATGCATCAAAGTGTTCTAGTCTATCATAGTCTTACCTGAAAAGCTCACGCACAAAATTGCAACTAAGATTAATGCCCTCATTTTTGTAGACTGCAAAAGAAAAATAGAGCTGGCAATATATTCATACTGTTAGAACCTCCCAAATTTTAGTGATCACCTCAGCCCCACCATGGCTATGGCGCAGCATTATGGCTCTAACGTCTCTAGGTGGCCGGAAAACATTCAGACCAATTGTTCTCCCGATATTCTTTTTAATTTTCAAAAATGTAGGGGAAGATAATTCTGTTGTCTGAAAAAATGCACTTAAGACGTATTCAATTATACTAAGAATTTAAAAATAAAGCAAAAAGAGAAGTATTGGCCCAGATTTTTCGTGGAATGAGATGGTAGTATATTATATCTATGATATTTTTTTTCTTTTTTTGACGTAGGAGATTATTTTACTTGGGATACAATTAGGTTTGCTATGGTTAAAGACAAGATCAGATATGGATTTAATTTAAATCACATAACATGTAATTAACTGTAATTATAATTACAATTTAGTAAGGTCTTATAGGCCTATTGCAGTAAACCTACGTATGAATTTCAACTAGCAGGGGCGGATCCAGAGGGGAGGGGCCGAAAGGGGGCCGAAAGTGGGGCCGATCAAGATAATACCATGATAATACTACCGTAGGGGTCCGTGGGCATGCCCCCGCTATTGTGTTCTAGACGCCCGAAAATAACCTCTGATTCTTTTTGAGCCGATCCATTTTTTTTCCTCTTTCTTTCTTTCTTTATTTTTTTATTCTATTTTTTACCTTCCAAAAAAACAGGGGGTGGGGGGGGGGTGGAGCCCACCCACATCCGCTCTTGCTTAGCAGTGGCGTAACGCCAGTGTTGGAGGCCCTGCGGCTTTGTGAATCTGAGGGCCCTTGCGAACGCTATCGCAGCACTGAGCACAAGGAACTGGCAAGGATTTAGGGTGCGAAGTTGCTGGTCCCCAGAGACATTTTCAGGATATTGAAGGTCCTAATATTTGAAGGTCCTAATATTTGATTTCATTTCATAGAGATTGTATATTAAAAAATACTATAATACAACATTAAACGAAATACAAAGACAGATTCAACATTTTATAGGCCTCCAAAGACTTTGACATATCAAAAACACAGTGAATGTAAAAAAAACAAAACAAAACAAAACAAAACACAGCGAGGCGGATTCGGCGGCACCATTCTCCCGATTTCTTCCGTCCAGAGACCGTTATCTTTACAGTACAGACAAAAGTGTTGCATATTTTACCTTTATGTATTTTCGAAAGTAAATACAAGTGAAAAAACAATGATGCGTTTGAAAGCCGAAGCTTCCAATTTTCAGTCCAGAAAGTTACTGAAAATAGAAGGGATACCTATGAATTTGTGTATTATGAGATCCTTTGAAATCAAGTAAATATACTAACATATGATTAAACTAGAAAAAAATCAATTAAGTACTGGTGTGTTCAAAATATTTTTTTATATATCCTAATAAGGTCCAATATAAACACTTCCATTATGCCCTAACACCACACTAGACTATTAGAAACTAAAGAAAAACATGTTTTAAATGAACGGTAAATAAGGTTTTCTTACCTATGTTCAGCACGGTCGCAATTGCTGAAATTGTTATTTGAATTTGTTTCTTGTAACCTTATATACATTTTGAAGTTGTGTTTACGTAAACTTATCAAGCGGCATATGTTGTTATCATTCTAGTGTTGTGAGAAAACCACCGTAACTTACCGTATGTTTGAATCTATCTGTCAATTAAACATATTATTTTCCTTGGCCACTCCAAAAAAAGCATCTACTCGCCAGGTAATTATTAACAGGATTAAAGCGTCTTGTAAGGGAATGGGTTAATTTGGTATTTCTGTGCTTTTCTAGCGTTGAAACCGGGAACCAGATACAGGATTTCCAGTTTGGTCTCCAATTATAATAAGATAAAAGACATGTAATTAGAGGGAGGTATGTATTTAAAAGCGAAATTTATTTTTAGAATTACTTTAAAATTAATCGTAGTTAAAATTTTAATTTTCATACGCCTTATCTTTTCATCGCTTTTAAGATGTCTTCTAAGCCTCTCTGAAGGATTGGGGGGGGGGGGTCCCCATAGCCCCCCCCCCCCGTAGTACCACTGATTAATCCTATTATTACTAGGTCATTTGAAGTATGCCTTCTGATTCTAACCACGTGTTTCTTGAGAACGTGTTATTAGACCTATACTGTAATCAACATTAACAAAAAAGCTGTAATAATAATAATAATACAGCTGTAATACGTGCAGTTAGTACCAAGGTGCTGGAGCCCGTTTATCATATCGAACGAATGATAAAAAATTCGATGCAGGCGATCAGATGAGAATTTATATAATTGTTTTTTCCCTCATTTTTTTTGTGTTTGATGATTCCATCCCCTTGGCTTGTTTCCTTACGCAGCTTTTCAAACATGACAAATTACAACCAGCAGTTCCCATTTCTGGACAAACAGTTTTCTTCACCCTTATATATAGATTACAAGGCAAACTACTGAAAAACAACAATGCTGTGGGAAAGGCGAGTGATATATATAATGGTGAAGTCCTTCCTCGCCACCGAGGAAGGACTAGTGTTGTCCGAAAGCTCTGGTTGTTTACTACGTTTACTTTTTAGCTGTTGCTTATCATTTTTTTATCTCTACTGAGATCCAGCCATTGTTTCCCACAGCATTGTTGTTTTTCAGTATTTTGCCTTTTAATCTATATATATATATATATATATATATATTATTTGAAACCATTTTTAAATTGGAATAGTCATGTTCTTGTGCAAAACATCTTTTCATTCCAACACAATATTGATTTAAAGATCGCATGTTTATGAACATCTCTAAATACCATTACTAATTCCCCTCAACAAATCGTTTTTAATTTAAGCGCTCCATTCCAAAAAATCCTCACCCCATCGACCCCCTCTCCCTTCTGGAATTTTTTGATATGCTTATAATGTCATACAAAATTAATATATCCATAGGATTTTTGGTATACCCTCTGTACCGGTACTGAGTCTAAGCTAAAATATGCACTTTAATAATTGTTCAAATAAATTGTAACAATAACAATATCTGCTTCAATATTTATGTCAATCAATCGTTGTGCAATAGTTAATTCATTAGCATGATAAAAACTCGGGTACATTTCAATACTTGTCCCGTCGTAGACGGTAAGTATATCTAGTTTAATTAATGATTACTGTAGATTATCATAATTCCGATTTAGATACCGGTAATAATTAGGCCTAGATGTAATTAATTTTCCAGATATAGGCCTTGTTTATGTAGTTATGTATACTGTAATTAATTGTTATAATAATAACATTGGCCTAATATATAGGCCAAGGGTTGGGGTGTATCATTATAATGATCACTCATTAATGTCATTTGATTATAAATAATTATTATAAGTTGTTTTTATTTACTTTTTCAGTTACCACAGAAATTGCATTACTTTTGTTCTGATCAGCGGCGTAGATGGTGACGGGCCTCAGTGCAAGACAGTTGCCGGGCCCGGGACGGATACTTATGTCTTTCTGCCCATCTCGCAAATGTGTCTGGATACGTTAGTCAGGGTATTTTAATTACTTTCCTAAAAGGCCCCTGACCGGATCCAGAGAGACACCGGCTTGGTGGGGTATTTTAAGGGAGAACTCTTTATAATTATATTGTGATTGTTTTTAAGCAACGTATTACTATTTACGGCATTGTAACGGGCAGAAATATCTATAAAATATTAAAAATAACTATTCAAGAATATTGAGAACAAATGGTCAAGTCATATATTATTTTATTTCATTTAGGCGGGCATTCCATTAGAGTGAGTAAATGTATAGAAAACAATACAATACAATTATTTAGTATTAGACATTAGGCGCTTTGATTAATGTTAATTAAAAGCAAACATGTTAATTAAAAGCAAACATTTTAAATAGTCCTAACTAAAAATATACACAACGTTTGTTCATTGATCTGATACACTCTTGTTAAACGTAATACTAATCGAAATTGAAGTTTTTTAACAAAAGAACTTTTTTTCTAAATGTCGGCCGGAAATCTGATTTTTAGAATGTTACGAGTGCGGGATAAAAAAATTTGGTGGGCCGGAGGTGGCCCGTGGGCCGAGGGTTGAATACCGGGGTCTACGACATTATGAAATTAACTAAAAACTTTTTAAAGGCGTAAATACAGGATATCAATGTTGACCACTTCGAGCAAGGTCATTCAATTCGCCCTTCCTTTTGCCGCCACAAGTTGTGGTCGGCTAGTGTGTGGTCATATCAGCGTGTGAGCGTGACGCGTTGTATTTGGCAAGCAGGCAGCCTACACAAAGCTAGTGAAAAGTACCCGTGTTTCCAAAATGGCTGTGGACGTTACCGTTCGAGCGAACAATCGTGTAATTGATGGTTTACAAAAGGGTATGTATAATTCATTTTCGATGTTATTTCAGATTTTATCGCACACGTTTCTCAGATGTTATTCTTGATTTACAACCAGGGTCCAATAAGACCCGGAAGTTAGTGAAATTCTAGGCCTAGGCCTAAGTAAGTCTGGTGCTGCTAGGCCTACCTCTATCTAGGGGGCCTAGGCTCTAGCACTAGTTAGGCCAACATAGGGCCTAGCAATCGAAGTCGGGAATTCTCGAAGTCATTAGCGGTAGCTGGTATACTGGCAGTGTTAGTGACAACGCTTCGCCGAGCTTCATTCATCATTCGTTCTTACTTAGAAAGGAAAAGTGACATTGTATATTTTGTGTATGGTAAATGAGGTATTAAATAGGCCTAGCCCTAGGCTAGGGTAGGGGCATAGCCTAGGCTATTCGGGAAATATTGATGCAGGAATAAAAAAAAAAAATTTGCCGCATATTTCAACAGCATAAAAATAACAATGGAATTTTGTGACTTCAAACACATTTTCTTTAAAAAAAACTAAAATAAACCACTTTTTATACAATATTTACTGTTATTAGCCAAATATAAACAGTCCCTTCCTCATCGATAAAAACAGAAGCGAAATGATCTGTTGTTCCGATTAAAAAAAAAAAAAAATCACCCTCCCTCATCGATTTTTAAAAAAAAGTGTGATAATCTATTACTTTCTTTTCTATGTGCCCTTATAGGCAAAAATTACTACAATGACAACAATGATTCAATGGGAGCAGCCCTCACTCAACAAACAACTTTACCATGTTATGATGTTAATTTAACTTTGTCATTCTGATTTTACTTCATTCCGTTTACCATTAATTATACATTGTTTTTATTCATGATCTTGGTGTTTACAACTTGATACGGTTGAATTACGTATCGATTGACGTATTACAAACTTCACTTCGTTTAAATAAGATTGCCTATATGGAATCTCTGCACACTGATGATGACAGTAGGATCTGTCGAAACATGTATGTAGCGTAAAGCCTAGCAATGGCTAGGCCTAATAAAGTTTTCAGGCATTGCCTGAAATTATCATTCTCAAAAGTATCGTCATATTTTTGAATTTTATTAGTGGTTTATTGTGTCATCGATCATTTGGTAACAACAATGATTGTGATTAAATAATTTACAACATAAAATCAAACATTTACAAAATGCACACTTACTGTACACACACAAGATATGGTCTGGATACTGATTGGAAAAAAAAGACTTCTTTGTTAGAGTCAAAATCTGTTCTGTTGTCATAAAAGTGGATAACTATAGTTTTTGTATTTCCATTATGACACTTGACATAAAATTCAGATTTGATGTCAAGCATTGACAAAGTCTACAGGAGTATCCGAAATATTCGCCAAATAAAATATTGTAAAAATGAATAAATCATTTAAGATCTCTGGAGCACGATGTTGGAATAAGTTACCCCAAATTTTGTAAGAGGCTAAAACAATAAATATTTTTTTAAAAACGTATAAAAAAGAATATTTTCTTAAGATTTAAACTTTGACTTACTAGAAATATTAATCAAATTTCAAAACACACTCCTAGACATTTTTTAAATAAATTACTTTCCATGTTTGGTATTTTAGTGTAGTATTAAGTATTGTGTTCATTATCTTGTTTTTGTTTTAGTTATATTTAATAATATCTAATTGGTGTTTTATTTGGGGCCATATGGTAGATCAATTTTAGTGTGCTCTGTCAATCTTACTATTGTGCATTTACTTTCATTGAAGGGGGAAAAAGAATTGCACACCCTACTTTTGAATTTGCAAACCAAGTTTCAAAATCCTGCCTAAAGCTCTGATATATATATATACTGTCTCTTATACACATCTAGATGTGTATAAGAGACAGGTATTTGGCACAGATATATATCAAGGCAGTATCCTGTAAGATGAGTAGTCTAATTCATAGCAGCGAAAGTATAAATTTCAATTTCTAAATCTCTGTGTAGAAAATGAAGGTGACTGGGAAGGCGGGTTCTGCTTTATACAAGCGGCGGATACACAGTATGGGATGATTGACAGCTACGAAGATAACGGAGATGGTACACGATGGGAGAAAGAAAGGCTGCTTACCAGGGAGGCTATACGTGGAGCCAATCGGATGATCCCAAAGCCAAAGTTTTTCATTGTTTGTGGTGATTTAGTTGATGCAATGCCAGGTGATACTGTAGTATTGAGATTTCACAAACTTATACATTAATAACGATAACGAATAAACTATGTCATTATCATCATCGTCAATCATGCCTGAAACATTCTTGACAATATGCTGTACTGGCTGAATATGATCCTTGATTCTTGCAAAAGACATTAATCGTCTACGTTGTGATAAATATGCTACTGTAGGGGAAGGGTTGTCTAAAAATTTGATGACGTAACAATATTCATTATCGTTTTTGTAAGCTTGCAAAAAGTCTCTAATACATATTTAGAGATTGTCCACTGAAAATGACAAAAGTCATAGAAATAGTTTTTAAATTAACTTGCTCATATAATTGCAGTAACATAAAAATTATTAACTAGCATAGAAATTTTTAATTAAAAAAATGTGTATCCTGATGTTTTAAATACACTAATTTCTTTGTTAAAGTTGATAATTTTTATGTTACCTCAAAATAACCAAGTTAATTTCAATAATGATTTTTATGATTTTTTGGGTATTTTGCATGGAACAATACATTTAATATAATTTGGCACATGGAACAAAAATTGCCAAAAGCAAATATCAGTCTTTTACTCATAAAAATTGAAATCTCTAACAAAACATAATACACAAGACAAACATAATACAAGAATGCCTTACATTCATTATGAATCTTAGAGAATGGATAACAAATTTATTTAAAACTTAATACATGTACATGATGAATTAAAAAGTCCCAAATATCAATTCTTGAAATAACTGGTTGCCTCATATTGACAGTTGGTGCATTGGTTGCATGCCGGTCTCGAGGTCGGGGGTTCGAACCTTTTCTTTGCATTTCGCTTGTGGTCTTGGACAAGGCACTTCACCTGCGTTTTTTTCCCTCCACCCAGGAGTATAAATGGGTACCCGGTGGTTCTCTACAGGGGAGGAGAAAGGCAGCGTGGAAAGGAAGTGTCCACCCTACCACACAGCGCTGAGGTTTAGTACGATGGGCTAACAGCTCATTCCCCTACGTTCAGTAATGAATACGGGACTACCTCGACCTTTTACCATACATTGATGAAGATGAAGCAGTCTCTTAATAATCAGAATATTTTATGTATCTCCCCAGGTAGTCCAGTGAAAGATGAACAGATACGTAATCTAAAAGATGATTTAAGATTACTGGACAATAGTATTCCTTTAATTTGTGTCTGTGGTAACCATGATGTTGGGAACTCCCCGACACAAGAGAGCGTTGACCGATATCGGGAATCATTTGGAGACGACTTCTTCAGCTTCTGGGTTGGTGGAGTTAAGTTTCTGGTGGTGAACTCGCAGTATTATGAAGATTCAAGTCAAGTACCAACATTAAAGAAGGACCAAGACCAGTGGCTTGATCAACAATTAGAAAGTTAGTACCCAGTATTAAGGGGCAAGGATCTGGGGAGTTGGTGGGGGTGGGGAAGAAGGAGATGATATTGATTTGTGGAAGCATGATCTGGTGCAGAAGTAAGGCATCCATAAACCTTCAATGAAATAATGTTAGGCTATAGCAGTCAAGTTGCTTATGTTAATACCCAAAACAGTTACGTTTTCTCCCCCTTGCCCCATCCAGTGCAGCATGACTTTGACAAAGAGTTCGCCTGTGAGTGAAGGTGTTTTTGCATCTAGATGAAGTAATGCTCTTCAAAACTAAGAAAGAGAAAATTTGTTATTATTCATAGAATATTAATAACGTTACAATTATTATTGTTATTGACATTCCTGTAGGTTGGTGGTGATGAGTTTTCTCTACTATCTGTTTTTTTTAAATACTTGTAATTCCCAATACATTTGGCCGTGGGGGTGAGAGGTGGTGTCTATTAATTTAAAATAATTTTATTGACACTTCATTAGTACAAAATCATAACACAACAAAATGTTAAAATAGCCTAGAATTGCATATATTTGATATAGGTACTACTGAAAGTACCCACCCCACCTCAACCCAATCAGCCTGGTACCCTCCTCCTTTGGGCCCCAAATAAATATGAACTTCGGGCAAGGGGTATCGTATTTCTAGCGTGTGTACAGTTCTGAGTGTATATATAATATTGTACTTTGTTTAGCTGTGTAATTTCGATCAGGTCAATCAGCGGGTTTTTTCGAGTATGCATACACCATTCTTGGATTGATTTAGAGTAATGTCAACACTTCAAATACAGACCTCAAACACTATATTTGACCCCACAATTGAAATATCATCTGAACTTTGATCTGCAATGTAATATACTTCAGGTAATGTTGACTGCCTCAGAAATGTATGTATACCTCCTAAACCCAAGTATTTGAAGCTCTCCAGAAGTGGGGATAGAAAATTTTCGCAACAGGACACAAAGCTGCAGGTTGTATCTCTATACTGGGCCATTCAGAAGTAGGCCTTTGATTGCGAAAAGGAATAGTATTACAATTACTATACATTTGCTATTTTCTTTTATTATTGTTTTAAACAGTGTTTAAACCAATTAATTTAATATTATTATTTTATATTTTAATATAATTATAATTTTAAAAAAAATTATATTATTATTTTAATTTTTATTTATCTTATAGGTGAGGATTGGAAGCACCTAGTTGTTTTTCAGCATATTCCATGGTTTTTAAGGACGCCGGACGAAGACGATGAGTATTTTAATATCAATACAGATGTTAGATTACCGATGTTAGAAAAGTTTCACAAAGCAGGTATGCTGTTAAAATTAAATATTTATTTATACCATCATATTAAAGCTCCGGAGGCCTTAAGCTCTATCCACACTATCAAATTTACTTTGACAAAAAAATGTGACACGCCCATATATAGTAATGCTATGCCTATATATGGTCATGGTGTGATGTCATCATGCCCATATTTGGGCATATCACACTTTTTTGTCACACAAAATTTGATAGTGTAGACAGAGCTTAAATATGTTGTACAACTGATTTTTCTAAGACACAAAAAGCGTATTTGACGAAAAACTCGGAAGCGGTTAATGAGATACAGATTTTTGAATATTTAAAAACTGGATAATAAGTGGGATAACCATTCTTTTTTCAACCTTTTTTTTCCCCAATTTTTAAATTCAAAAATCTGAATCTTATTAACTGCATCCGAGTTTTTCGTCAAATATGCTTTTTATGTTGTATTAAAATCAGATGTACAACATATCAAATATATTTTATTCCACTGGAGCCTTGCTTTAATGTATTATTAAATATTATTTGTTGATCCAAAATATTTAATTCACATTGAAGGCAACTTTAATGCATTTACTTTATTTTCAATAGGAGTTCGCAAAATTTTCTGTGGTCACTACCATCGAAATGCTGGTGGATTCTACCAAGATTTAGAACTTATAGTTACCTCAGCGGTCGGCTGTCAGATGGGCGATCAAAAATCAGGTTTCCGGGTTGTAACGGTAAATGAAAAAGACATTCAACACCAATACTATGAATTGGATCAAATTCCAGTAAATATAAAATTACACTGATGTGAATTGACTGAAGAAGGCTAATTGATTTTTAAAGCCTGGTAAACACAAAGCAGTTTGCTCAGCCAATGGCCTCTCCTGATAATTTGCCCAATGTTTCCACATGATTTTTAGTGAGAATTCTGCCTCAGAGAGACAATGAGCCAAATTTCTATTGGGTATGATATTTTTTGTCTCGCAAGGCAAAATTCTCACTGTGTGTGGCTGCCTAGAGCAAACAGCTTACTCACGTTTGATGTAACAGTTAGATTGACCAATCGTAATCAATGAATCAAGAGGCCAACCCAGTTTTGGGTTGGGCATAGCTGTAAGGTGACAATCAATGACCACGTGGGTAAGCATTTTCCTCATTGGTAAGGAAAGCCCTTGCTATGCATTCAGAAGTAGGCCTTTGATTGCGAAAAGGGACAGTATTACAATTACTATACATTTGCTATTTTCTTTTATTATTGTTTTAAACAGTGTTTAAACCAATTAATCTATGCAAAGTGTTCTTGTGTGTACCTGCTTTAACAGCATATGTATATGTATATACAGTATATTATTATGAGCTTTCATTGACACGCAATAATATTATCTGCAACTGATCTACACCAATATTTTGCCTAGTGCGGGGGTCCCAAGTCCCCACTTGTTGCAGCAGTCTCTCGAAATCGAGGCGCCCCCCCCCGCACTCCCAGAAGCAAGAAAGAATCTCATCGAAAATAACCCATTTTCCGCAAAATCACGATATATATATGTTCTTACTACTCTATTATCAATAGTCTTTCGGAAGTCAGTGCCAATTGGTGGCACCATGTACAGCAAAATATAATTAGATGTGTTTAGAGAAAACCCATTTAAACAGGTCTCCCAGATTGGATTCTTTCAACTTGGGACCCATGCATAGTGTTGGCTCTGTAAAAAGCTTCAGCTGGTATTCCTAAATGAAACTGATACTAACAGACAACAAGAAATTGATAGAGTAACACTAATATTAATTATTTATTATATTTTATTATTTTAATGTTACAATAGCAATATAGTATACAGTAGTAATATTATTCATTATTGCTATTATTAATTTTATGTAGTAATTTTAATGAATTGAAAATCCATAGATTGCAGGACCAAATTATACATTTCCATAATAAGAAGTACAGGCCTAACAGTACTACCTTCATTATTTTAGTTGTTTATGACAATTCAGTTAAGTTTGTCTCTCACTGGCAGTTCCAGGATTTGGAAAACCATGATTGCAAGAGTTGGGCAGCAATAATTCATAATTCATAGATTCGTAATTAACTAATAACTACATAATTCTGTACTTTAATACCAAACAATACATTACATGCAATTCCATATTGTGCTCGAGGAGTAAGTTTCAAGAACATACTAAGTTTCTGTGACTTTGACCTTCTCTTTTGACGTTGACCTTCTTTAGACCCACATGTACCTCTCTACTAAATTTTATGACGATCTATTCATTGTTTTTTTGCATAATCCTGATAACAGAGAGAGATGGTAGGCTGTATACATACTGTCAAAATATTATCAGTGTGCTCAGTATTAGTAAGCCCTCAGGTACTGTAGATTTAACTGGGTCATGTTGTTCGCATTGGACTTTACTGCTACGGAAAAACAGACTGCTTATTCATCCTAGCAAGGTTCTGCATCTTGGGTAAATTTACTCGGGCTGTTCTTTTTTGTACAAATTGATTATGTACGTGGTAGTTGTCATCAAAATATGTACAATCTAAACAGAAACTAATCTCATTAATAGATTTTATAAAGCATAACTTTGCCGTGTACTGTAAATAGATTATACTTTATACTGAGGTTCTCCAATAAGAAGGTATTATGATATATTCAATACGTTTAGTGTTGGTTTAATTTTTTTAGATCTTTCAATAAGTTCCTGTCTTTGTTAACTTATATATTAAATATGCATAGTTTATGCATTACTCTTCAGTAATAAAACTCTCAGGGTTATCGCTTTTTTCCAGATTTTGATGCCAAATAAACTTTCTATGCAACTTTCCTCTAGTAGTGTTCAGCTAACCTATAATGTTTTTAAATTACAGGGAAAATTTCTACTGGATCCGTGCTCCTTTAAGGTTTTGTTGCTTAAGAATATTCGTTTCCAAAAACAGTGATTTTATAACACAGACTGAAATATATACGACTGTGAGACAAGAATGTATATTTTTTTGTTTTAATCCATTATGATATATAAATTATCTAATAATTATTCATAATATTAATAATATTAATAAGTAGTTTAGTATTTATATCGCTCATTTCCTCCACTTTATACTACATGAGCAAACAAGCATTGAAGAGGTGGTCATCACTCTCTGTAATTGTACCTCATCCAACAATGGAGGTTCATTAAGCATTGATAAAGTGCTGCTCAGTGGTGGCACCAGTGGGGGAGGCAGGGAAATTCCCTCCTCCTCCGTCAAACAGGCATTTACCCCACCCTTATTTTCTAATATTGTAGAATTTGTATTCTGGGACCCAGACTGAGGTTCTAAAATTCCCTATCGGACATGTTATACCCCCTGTCGGACATTTTGTACCTCCTTATTTGACATGTCGTACCCTATATCGGACATGTTGTACCTCTTATGGGATATGTCGTCCCCCTGTCCACAAATGTCTAAAGCCACCGATGGTGATGCTAAATAATGGTGTAACACTTAAAAGTTGCAAGTATTGTTTGATCATTCAGCATTGTATTACTATTGTTATTATAATTAGTATGATTGCAATAATCCATCTATTAAAATATAAGATACTCATAAATGACTTCGTTTGACGCGTGAGATATCATCATCAGGCAATTGTGCTTTATGATACTACCGGTTTATATACTGCCGGTCAGGTGTATGGCAAACAGAAAAATACAAAGTAATTATAAGGGAAAGATAAATATTTGTGCCGAGCAATTCATTTTTCAAATTCTTCACTCGTTTATTTAAATAATGACACTGTTAGATCTCCTTGGGAACATTGTTAAAACTTAGTTTTAGGAGAAAACGATTCTCATAGAATAACATTTTATGAATTAAGAAAATGATATTGGATTGTGGTAAATTCATGCTTATGTTTTGTCTACAATCTGCCTTCTAACATGGAATATATAATGTAGATTTGCAATTACAAAAAAAAAAAATAATTTGCTGTTAAGTTTAATATTGTCTGATCGATAAGATATACTGTAGATGACTGAAGGATTGCAATGTAAATTTTGTTGACTATTTTACAGTATGTGCTAGATAATATTACACATGTTGTTACTGTATAATTATGTATTTTATAATCGATGAAAATATTTGCATTTAATGAGAGAGTATATGTTGAGATATATAGTTATATGTAATGTAGACATAAACGAGAACCATTTTTATTTTAGAAGGACAATACTATATAAAAGCAAGGATTAGATTATATTTTATGCTGCTAAAATTCATGTTCGATCGGACCTTGTGTAATCAAACTATTTAAAAAGTGCCTGAACCTCATGATGGTTTTATCAGAGTAAGATTACTTTAAATATTCTCTATTCACGTTACAATTGATTTCAAATCTGTATTCATCAGTGTATGCATCCAGAACTACCTATACAGTATTATGTAATTGGCTCTGGTATACTATATAGCATACCTTAAATAATTGAATAAGCGCCGCAGCACTTATAAAATGTTTGGAGGCTTCGGTGGGGCGCTTTCCATGCCTGTTCCCATGCTACCTATCTCACGTATTCCGTAGTTCAGTATTCCAATCATATGTCCTACGTTATCCTAAAAAAACATTTATATTTAGAAATGTTTCTGTCTTCATTGTGTTATTTATTCATTTTAACACTGTATACATTGAATTTAAAACCTTGTTTCACACAGGGTAATATATACGGCGCTTAATAGAGAGTGCTGATTAGCGAAAAAAAAATCAGGTTTGGTGCGGCGCTTATTCGAGAGTGGCGCTTACTCGAGCATTTACTGTAGTGTACATGTTTATGGTATTAGCAAAATTAAACTTTGTTTTTATAGACTCGTGAGCATTCGACCTGTTGGGAACTTTAAATCGAGGTCACTTTCAGGGATTTATACCATTGAAATATTATGTATGTTAATAAATACATTATAGATTCTTTAAAGTTTCATCGTATTGTTTCGTCTGTTGTTGTACTATTAGAAAAATACCCCCATGTAGAAAGGATGCATATTGGAAGTTCTAATAGGTTAAGAATGAGACTATTTTCTATAAATTTCTGGTTTTCTGCGTTAATATAGCGTGATTTAAAAAGAAATACTCTACGCATATTTTTCTCCAATCATTCCAAAAAATAGACCTAACCAGGGGCGTAACGCATATGGACTCTCGGGGGGTGGGAAGCCAAAGGAGCCCTGGCGTTCAAAACTTCTACTAGCACTCTTCTTAGCTTTGAAGTAACAATCCAGTAGAAGGCATCCAAAGCTAGCAAATTAAAACAATGTACAGTGGGTAATCCTGAATTTTTAATTCACGAATGTCTTTTATGTGTACTCAAATGACACCTTTTCTTAATTGGACTAACGTAAAACCTCGAATTGAAGCCCAGTGGGCTTAATCTCGAGATGAGGCCTATCTCTTTAGTTTGCAAAATTAGCCTTGAAAAGAAGCCCATGGACGTCATTTCAACATAGCATAGGTTCCTTTTCGAGATAGTACAGTATATACACTGTACATGAATTTCAAAAAACAATTAATTAAAAACAAGCTTGGTTTATACAGTAGTTTAGGTGATTTAATGTCAGTTAAATACACTATAAGATACAGAGTGATGTTACAGTGGAAGATTTTTATTGTTTTATAGTACAGATTCGCAAAATTCTAGGGCTTCAATTCGAGATTTTACGGTATATCAATTCGGACCTAAAATGTTTCCACAGCCGGGCTTAACTATTCTGAAATTTGGATAGTCCGTAATAATTACCAGAATTCACAGAGAATTCGAATCAAAGTACTGTATATATAAAATGCTATGATATTGTTGATCAGGGAACAGTGAAATTATCACTGTTCCCTGTTGTTGTTCCACTGGGCCCTCAGCCACATACGTTACAATCCTAATCGAATACTAATGCATGGGCCCAACACTTTCTCGCCCCCGGACCTGTTGTGACGCCACTGGACCTAACATAATGACCTTTCCGCTTTGCCCCGCTTCTTGGATATTGACCCATGAGTGTAATAGAGATTGTGAGACGTCCCTAGCACATTGTTGTGGTTTATTTAATTGTAAAGTTCGAAACTGATGAAATGTATAACAACTTGACGACATCACATTGAAAACAAAGAGCTGCTCTGTGATTTCCAGTACCATTATGGGAGGTTAACATGCATCAATTCCTGATCTCCAGGTCTCGAACGATCTACATTACTGGACTATAAGATACAGACCATGCTAGCAAAGCGATGTTAGCACCATCTCAGCTGCGGCTGGAGGGTAGTTTAGGCCACAAACAACCTCCAAGCATCACACAATCACGATATTTGCCATTTTTATACTCGGAGCACTATTTGTACATGTGCACCCCTACGACACAGATCAAATAAAACACTTTAAACGTTTGTGTTATCTACTTAGAAAATATCTACATTTATTGTGAATACCCTTAAAGACTTTTTAAAAGAAAGAAATTGCTAAAAGTATACAAGGAAATTAAAAATGTAAATCACGATATGTAAATTAAATAAACTTTTGTTAAATTCTGCTGTCTTCCCAACAAGAAAAATACATTCATTGGGTTTGGAGGTCCTACAGGGAGGTGTTAGTAGCCCTAAATATTTCCCAATCAGCTTCATTTACCATTATTATTGCCTCTGGTTTCGGCTGTAAAAAAATCAAAAACATTTGCATTGAGGATCACGAGTAATTAAAATCAATTCCCCCAGGTCCGGTTTTCTACTTCATTCTACTTCTATAAGTAGTCTACCAGTTTTCGCCAGTAGCACCTCAATTTTATTTGGTTGTTGCACTAATTAAAATGATCTATAGTTTGTTTTACATAGCCTCTTCTTTCTCTTTCTTCCTCTGCTCCTCTTCTTGCAATCCTTGATGTTTCCAACTCTGCTCTAAAATCGACTCCAATTCTGTTCTGTTGCACTTTAAATATGTCAAGACTCATTGTAATGAAATCTTTACAATTTGAAAATAGAGTTTGATAATTTAGAAGCATTTACGGTGGACAATGGATGGACCAGACTCATCGTATTCCTGCTTGCTTATCCACATCTGTTGGAAGGTGGAGAGGGAAGCCAGAATGGAGCCACCGATCCATACGGAGTATTTCCTTTCTGGTGGTGCAATGATCTTAATCTTCATTGTTGGTGGTGCTAGTGCAGTGATCTCTTTCTGCATTCTGTCAGCGATACCTGGGTACATGGAGGTGCCGCCGGATAAGACGGTGTTTGCGTACAGATCCTTACGAATATCAATGTCACACTTCATGATAGAGTTGTATGTTGTTTCATGGATACCGGCAGATTCCATACCTGGTGAGAGATGAGGGTATCAAATGAGATATTTGGAAACGAAAAGAAAAGGCCTATATAAAGATGATGCAAAAATGACCCAATTGGAATAAGCTCTGTATCTCAATGGGTTACCCTGGCCTGGACTTTTGTATTTTTATCTCTACCAAATAATACGAATAATATGTTTTTATATAATAGGACAGACATAATCTGAACAACAAAAATGCATGGGACTTCTACAGCAGTGGCGGCTCTAGGATATATTTCCTGGGGTGGGGAGAGGGCAGTTGTCCGACAGAGGGGACTTGAGCTCGTAGGCTCGAGCTTGGGGAAGGGGTTGAGTGGGGTCCCCCTCCCAAATGAGATTTCTTTAAAAGAATAGCAACCTCTGAATGGCCGGAAATGGCACTCTCATACTGTGACAGACATGTGTTCGCTTGGTGTGGGCCTATTTTTATATGTTTTATGGTCTGACGGTCCGGCGGGGGTGGGGGGCCTTGACCTGTCCGGTGGAGGGGGGGACTTAAGCCCCCCCTGTCAACCGAAGGCGCCGCCACTCTTCTAAAGTAACGATGATGATGATAGTACGGATGTTTCTCAATTCTAATCTCATTCAACAGCGCGAGACTCTCCACTTACCAGGATGTAAGTGATACGCTATAAAGTAGCTCAAATTATGAGGCGTTGCTTCTGACAGGATTTGCGCCCAAGGTCCTGGAGGTGGGGTTATGTACCTTAACTACGTGGTTAAAATCTCACGAGATAACCTCTTTTAAAAATTTTTATGACAGTATTTGAAAAATTAAAAAAGGAGTTTTTGCGAAACTTACCAATGAAAGATGGTTGGAAGAGGGTTTCTGGGCATCGGAATCGCTCGTTGCCGATGGTGATAACTTGACCGTCGGGAAGCTCGTAGCTCTTTTCTAAGGAGGAGCTTGATGCAGCTGTGGCCATCTCCTGCTCGAAGTCCAAGGCAACATAGCAAAGTTTCTCTTTGATATCACGAACGATCTCACGCTCGGCTGTAAGTAGAAACAAGTCGTTTCATAATTCTAAAACATGATTTTCTATGATATCGTTGCCTTTACATTGTATACAAAATACATTTGACAATGTTGTTACAGGAAAACACATCATTGTTGTTAATAACAGACATTCAGACTATCTAGATCCAACATTTATCTCCACATTTGTACATAAAATTTGATTCAATCCAACTACAGTAGTTATATCTTCGAAATATCAAGAGATCGTCTTTAATTTTTGTAATTATGTCTTTTATATATGAAGAAAGGACCAACAAATTTTGAATTCGTTCCATCTCCCTTGGATATTGTTGGTTAGGCACCACAAAAGGTCAATGAAATCGTATGTGTAAACGTGTGTGTTATTAGGACATGCGCGTATTCCTGGTCTTGTTCTGATTGGTCAGTTGTTAAGTTTGAATGACACTCCGAAAAAGTTCATTGAAAAGTCAAGTGAGTACGCATTCACAGGTGAAGACATATTGTAAGTGAGCGCCTAAACTTCCAGGTGAGAATGTTAACTTGTTCGTCACATTCACCAATTAGGCCTAGGCCTACTCTATTTACATTTAAAGCATTCATTTTAGTTATCCAAACTTACCAGTGGTTGTGAATGAGTAACCTCTCTCTGTAAGGATCTTCATTTGGTAATCGGTAAGGTCACGACCGGCTAAATCAAGACGCATGATGGCGTGGGGGAGTGCATAACCTTCATAGATTGGTACGGTGTGGGTGACACCATCTCCGGTATCAAGGACAATACCAGTAGTACGACCAGATGCGTAAAGGGATAGGACAGCTTGGATGGCTACATACATGGCTGGGCAGTTAAATGTTTCGAAGAGGATCTGATGGTAGAAAATTATTTACAATGTGTTTAAAGTTTCGATTTTATATGCAAAGACATTCACACAGTATGCGTACTAATGTTATTATGTTTTATTATGTTTTATTATAATGATTATTTATTAATAGGCCTATATTATTTTTTCTTAATTCAAGAGAGCGTCGAAACGCGTCTCTGTGAGCGACAGACGACGCGACGCCGTCTGCTGATTGTCGGTGGCACTCTAAACTGATCGTCATTATAAACGATCCGTTGCGCGCGCGTCGTCACGTTGCGTTCTTTGTAGAATCGCGTCGGCGGACGACCGTCGTGTCCAGTGAAGTGCCCGGCTTTAGTGTCTTGTCTATATTATTACCTGTGTCATCTTTTCCCTGTTGGCTTTGGGGTTGAGAGGTGCCTCTGACATGAGGACTGGATGCTCTTCTGGTGCCACACGGAGTTCATTGTAGAAAGTGTGATGCCAGATTTTCTCCATATCATCCCAGTTTGTGACGATACCGTGCTCAATTGGGTATTTCAATGTGAGGATACCTCTTTTGCTCTGGGCCTCGTCTCCGACGTAGCTGTCCTTTTGGCCCATACCTACCATGACACCCTGAATGGGAAAATTTCATCTACTTTTAGAAAAAAAAATACCGGTAGTCCTACATATCTAACAAATGTCTTCCCCTGTATTTGGTACTACCTAATTAAATGTGCACTGCATTTCAATGCGGCGTACTCCCCTCCCCTAGAAAAAGGTTGTACCCTCACCCCACTGAAATGTTACAACTGGATAAAAAGTACAAGTATACAGTTACATCAGCTCATTCAATTAATACATATTCATTTTATGGAAGTGTGTGACTGAGGGTTCGTGTAGGGTTATTCTTATGATTTATTTTCTGGAATATCATGCTTATTTTCTGGAATAATCTGGGTAATACGATTTCAAAATGTTATCCTATAGAGAGTAAAAGCGTGTTATTTCGGGAATTTATTTTTACCTGATGCCTTGGTCGGCCTACGATGGATGGGAAGACGGCTCTTGGAGCGTCATCTCCGGCAAAACCTGCCTTGCACATACCAGATCCATTGTCTACTACCAAAGCGGCAACATCTTCATCACACATGGTTAATTTTTTTCTGAAGAAAACATGGAAAAATATAAACATCAGCTACGAATAATACAATGAAAATAAATGCAGAACCAACACTTTACTACAAAACATTCCATACAATAATTATCTTCGATTTATATCACCTAACAAATACATATATAACAATTTTCTCTAATATTTGGTGTTCCGAATGTTAATACTGTATATTAATTAGACCTAAATATTCTTTATAAGTATTATTCCCTAATATGCCTAGTCAAACTTCAAGATCTGGAATCGAAATCAATCACGTAATGTCGAGACTCATCATCATACGATTCAACTCCAAGCATAAAGTGTCATATGATATCTCTCCAAAAATATCATTCAATTTTTAAAAAACGACCCAAATCATTAATGCTTAACATTAATCAATAATTTTCTTTACTTACTGCATCACGTTTCATACCATATTAGACTATGAGTAGTAGACTGGTAACAATGAAGCTGACCTACTGTACTGATGATGAACCCTATACTGACAGCACAGCGACACTACTGACAGTATAGATTGACTTGGCATACCATACTTCGGTTATGACGTCATCTTAAACTTTTTAAGTTTTAAGTACTTATATGTCTACTCGTACTACGTTTTCAACGTCTCTACTCCTAATTCTAACAGATGAATTAATTTTTCAAAGATATATATATATATATATAAGATGTGTATAAGAGACAGCGGGTATACTATATAGCATACCTTAAAATTCTTCATTTATTGTGCAGAACTGCTTTTGAAATGCAAAATCTTAAATGTTTATCATGTTATTAAATATATGTAGCTACACTTAAACTACACGTAAACCTATCTGTCTATTACTCCTACTTCCAAGCTAAATTCGAAATCACTCGTACACAAATGCTAAGTCCTAATGCAAGCGTCGATATAAATCGTTATCATCGATAACCTAAAATTAAAGGAATAAAGTAGTTAAATTATTCAACTCAGAATTGTCCTAGCTAAATCACCGATAGAGGAAGAATAGGTAAAGTATTACTTACTATAGGTGTAGTGACTACAGAGGAAAAAATATCCAAGACTATTGGAGTGAACGGAGCAGTAGTTCCTATGCCTTCGAGAAGAGGAGTGAGACCTGATCACTACCGGTAGCCACTCATATTAATTGGGGTGAAATTCTTCGATAAAATATGAAAAGACAGCCCTTCCCTAATTTAGAGATGTTTGGAAGTGGTAATTTAAACCCTAGAAGTGCACGGGTGGCGCGCTTTGCTTGCTCCTACGGCGAGCATTCCATTACCATATAAGGTGAGACACTAATGTACCGTTGGCCTGACAACAACATCTTAAACGTCCCACCCCTTTGCTAATTCACGAATCGCTAATAAGGAATATGGTCGCTTGACATAAATGGAATTGAGAGGGAGGAGAAACGAATAGTAATCAGCAGACTATAGGCTTACAGGCTGCTCATTTAATATTTGGCTGTGTACACTCAATCCTGGATATCCCACGTATCGTTCCCTTTCACGTGTATTGACATCAGGCATACGAAAGTAATTAAACATCTCTCGAGTTTTCCAAGTTTCAAATCGCACTTACAGAACATTGAATTACTGTATTTCAGGGGCGGGTTCAGGGGTGGGGGATAAGCCGGCTCCGTTCCCCCATTCGGAAAAAAAAAGAAGGAAAAATAAGAAAGAAAAAGAAATGACTGATCGCCAAAAAGCCTCAAAGGATATTTCCTAGCATCTAGAAAACAAATATTTCTCGGGGGAATGCTTCCGGCACCCCCTAGGTTAGTGTTTCAGGGACAGCGCTCCCCACCTTTCGGACATCTCTGGATCCTCCCCAGATATTTGTTTTAAACATTAATGAATGACTCAGACGTCATAGGCCTATCAACTTACGAGTACACACTTTTTTTTTTTTTTTTTTTTTTTTTTTTTTTTTTTTTATAAAAACTTTTTTTTTTTTTTTTTTCAATAAGAACCAGTAAAATGTTGCCCAGGATCATTGTTCTTACGTGTACACTTTTCAAGATAGAAAATTATTATTGTATTGTATATTACTGTACTGTAGTATAGAGGATGTGCATAGTAACACCTTCTGCACATAAGGTAGGCTCTACATATAAGATCTGTTGGTTTTTCTATTAAAAAAAGAAATAAAAACCTCATTTGACATTTTAACTCAGCCTCAATTTGTTATTTTGTTATTTTTAAGGCAATTTTAGCCGCAGTGTTTTCTATAAATTGTGTTTTTATACAAAAAACAGTGTAATAAATAAGAGATTAATGTTATCTTGAGAGATTTAATGGGACGGCGAGCGAAGGTGTGCTCAGGAATGTATTGGTGGATAGTGGGGAGAAGGAAAAGGAAAATCAGATGTTAAATTTTGTTTCGATAATTACAAAGAAGTAAAAGCTCTAAAAACTACCCCCCCCCCCAACACCCTTTATACCCCTCTTAATAAATTGGATGAAAACCATTAAATTGCTACAGGCCTGTATAGGTATACATTGTGCTTCTATAATTTACTTTCTAATCCAGTGCCATATACTCAGGATCTAGTGTAGAGGTGAATGGTGAACTAAGCAAGGCGAAATATTTGGCTAGGCCCCCCGGCAATAAATCCAGGTGCAAGAGATTTGAGGGATTTCTGTTATCGACTTCGATTTCAGAATCTAATAATCAGTCAACAAACATTTTTTTTTAAATCTATAGTGTTTATAATAAGAATAAACAAATTAAATTACATTTTTACCGTTATTAAATAACATCGTGAAGGCATCAAAAAGTGACAACTTGTAACATTACCCGAATCGAACAATAAGACGAGAGGAGCTTTCCAACAAAACTCTGAGACATTCGAGCTGTTCAGATTGTTGAGAAACTTTCCCAATTGTGGTCAAACGTTAAACACACATCAAAATAGAAATTTAGAAGTTATCATCAGTTCCTTTATAAATCATTAGTAATTTTGAAAATTATTCGTCCATCATCATCTTCATTGTCATCTTTATTATCATCATAATCATTATCTCATTTTCGTCACCATAAATATCATCGACCTCTCCGCCACCACCATCGTAATCGTCATCGTCATCGTCACCACCACCACCACCACCACCATCACCACATCAAACGCATCAAACTGTAAACTTATTATCAGTGCATTATTAATTATTAGTATTAATTTTCTTGATGATGATGATAATGATGATGATGATGATGATGACGACGATGACGATGATGATGATGATGGTGATTATCTAATTTCAGTCAAATTTCATCAGCATCTCCCACTCCATCATCACAATCATCATCACTATCAACATTCATTATCAAAATCATCATCTCTATAACCACGATGATAATGGTAGATTAATGTTAAGATGATGATGAGATGGTCATGATGATTATGATGATGACGATGATGATGATGATGAGACAATAATGATGGTGATGATGATGATTGATGACAACAATGTGGACTATATTGATGAAGAAAATAATGAGAATAACTAACTAGTGATTTATGGCCCAGAGGTTTTGCTTGTTTTGTATTGAAAATTTCGCAATGCCGTTCGTTTGCATCAAGTTTGCATTTAATATTTATAGACCTTACCGTATGTAATAAGGGTCAAGGTATTGACTTATTCTAGGATTGACTTATATATTATTCAATCCAATGAAACCGACATAAATGACTAGGCCCATATTGAGATGTAAGGTCATGAAAAGGCCGAAATTAACTACCTTATTTTGAGAGAAGTGGGAGGAGCCAATCGGGTTTGCCCGTGTAAGCTCACGGGGACGTACTGTATACGCACCATTTATGGATACGTTACTAAAGTATAGGCGAGTATTTCTCGTGGACTTCTTAGTGTAAGGATAAGTTGTCTAAACTCTAAACTGGTGTTAATGATCTGTGATGGGTCCTGAAGATGATGATACGTTGCAAGCAATAGAACTCAACAGCAGCCCATTGGAATGAACGTCTCGCCTGAAATTATTTTCGCTATGTGCTTCATACAGGCCTACCTATCAAGTCGGTTTATAATCGCTTTAAAATTCACTTTCTCATTCAATAATAGGCTGTATTTTGGATTATTATGCTGAATTATAATAACATTTTAATATATCATGTCAAAGGTAATTGACAACATTTTGAGCCCGATATTTTACCGTCGATGTTAGTTTACAACAGGCGCGGACCAGCGGTGGGGGGGGGGGCATGAGGGCCCGTTGGTAAAGCCGAAAAATAAAATAAAAAAAAGAGGGAAAAAATTTGAGTTAAAGAGAGGAAAGGGGGGTGGGGGGGGGAGAGTGCTCCCATGAGTGCAGTGACGATCCAGCAGTGGGAGAAAAGAGGGCTCGATTGTTTACCGCTTATTTACTGTACACTAACCATGGTGGGACGGAGGGGTGGGCCCATGTATAAATAAGTGCTCTTTACAAATGTAGAGGATTTGGGTCTGAAAGCGAGCATTTACATTTTTATATTCCAGTGTGTCTTGCTGATCCTAATTAACACGTACTGATTGGTCAGTTGTTAGGTTTAAAACACCGGGAATGGCTCGTACGGTTTCCATAGTAATCAGTTTTCTCGATTTTCTCATCGCCACTGTCGTGTACCGGTACTGATATTTAAATTGCAGTTTATTTATTGTAATGATAATATAATAAGTATTCTTGCATTCGGAACGGATAAAATCCATAAAGGCGAATCTAGGCTCCCAACCCATTGTTTATTACGTTTAACATGTACGGTACGGTATTCTTGTATTCTTATGATATTCGTTTATATAATATCTCTTGAGACAAATACAACATAAACTTAAGACGTGAGATCGGATTATATTTTTATATTATTATATTATTATTATTTGAATAAATTAATTTTTATATTTATACTATGCTCTAATAAACTATGTAAAATCTTTGGAAATTTTTAGAGTATGTTTAATACTGAGCAGTGTAGTAAATGAGATTTTTACCCTCTCTATCTGATATAAAATTTATATTGAATAGTGAAACATCGTGTCGTTATGCTATAGATATTACCGTTGGTTCTTCTGAGCTTTCATGTCGCATTTAGGTTAATGAGCATTCTAATGCTGGAAAAATAGTCGGAATTCCGAAGGCTTACTAAGCCGAATTTTTTATACTCGATGACCTGCCTATAGTCTACAGATAGTATGTTTCATTGTGTTCCCCCTACCAACATCCGTCCCAAAAACAAAATGAACTTGCTTTAAAGAATAGGCCTACCTCTCATGCAGTGAAATATAATTTCACCATACCAGATCGTTGGGATTAATTAGGTCCGACTTTCCCGATGGGGTGGGGGACGATGTCCACGACGAAAAAAAGTGGGCGTGGTCGGGCATCCCTCAAAACCTTTAGAAAGTGTTCCAGGGGGCGAAGCCCCCGAAACATATTACAATTTAGGGGTTTTAAAGGCTTAATTTAATTGGTTTTGGGGTGAAAAAAAATGCATGCACATTTTTTTTTGTCCCCGTCAAATTGTGCTTTTGGGTCTACTAATATGTAAAAAAAAAACATATTCATTTTTTCCCCGACGAATTGTGGTTTTTCTCGGCACTGGCCCCTCCGGCCTCCCCGCTGGCGCCACCCCTGATTTATACAAAAAAATACAATACCTAATATGCCTATTGAATAATATTATATAGGTCTATGTCATATGGTCATATTCTATAATCTCAATAAGTTGTATTATGCCTTGTTCCCCACATAACGCCTAGGTTTATTAGAGACACGTGCACTTCCATTGATGACGTCACGTAATGCTCCACTTTCTCTCATTTCAAACGGAAATATACCTACTGTTTATAGGACATGTGATGTTTAATTTATGCTGATTATTACGTTTTAACATTTTTGAGCTTCCGATTCCAGGCCACAGTAGTCACGTGAAAAGAGATGAAACTACCGTATATTTAACATGATAACAACTGAAAAGTCGTACACAAGAAAACTTCCCCAATGTTCAATCGAAAGTTTTGGCAAATGATTGATTACATACAACCCGTTTGACATTCGTTAATTTGTTTATCAAATTTGCTTTGTCTTTTCTGAAATTTTCTTTTCCGGTTAATTATTAATGCAATGTTTTATATCGCTGACAGCTGCGTATGGTGTTCATTAGTACAATTTGTATTTATTGTACAAT